AGTTCAAATATTTCTGACAATTCCTTAAAGCACATATAACTAGTTATTTCTAGTACTATTACAAGAAAAAACACAAAGATTTTGTGGGGGCTTTTTTCGGACATACCCATTCAAGGTACAGTTAAAAACATCAGTCTATAAGAGATGTTAATTACAAATAAAAAGCAAGGGTTTGCCTCTTGGGCACACACTTGAATGAAGACAGGGAAGAATCCAGTATTGACAATACAGTGCTTCACAGACATAAATACAAAGTAGAAGCTCTTTTTGCTTACTAGGCATTACTGTGCATGTTGATTTATATGATCTGTGGTAGAACAGTCCATGCCAGCAAAATCAATATAAGCTCATCTTCCACTCAGTATAAAGAAATTTTTTTGAGATCTTAATGAACCAAAAATCCAAATCTCATGACAATTCCTTATCAGACTTTCTTGGTTTTGGCTGGGACAGAGTTCATATTCTTGTCAGTAGCTTGTCTTTAGTCTGAGAATAATGTTCTCATGAACACCATGATGTTTTGGCTGTTGCTAAGTACTAAGACCCAAACAACAGGCCCTGAGCCAAAATTAACCTCTAGATGAACATTTCAGTCAAATATTATGTATATATTCACTCATTAATGAAGTATTGTTACATGTATTCATTTATTGGCAAAACACGTATTAGCCTTTCTGTATCTAGAAACCCAGTAAGGTCTTATTAGGGGAGTATAGCATCAAAGACAACTCCCTTGGTTCCTCCTGGAGCCCTGGTGAGGCTTTAGGAAAAAGCCAATAGAAGAATGAAATGAGAAATTATGTCAGCTTGTTTAACAGTATAAAATCTGGGCTACTCTCACAGCAAAGTCAGGGGAGCCTCATTGCCCACAAAGTGGACGTGGCACTGGAGTTCCTTTACAGGGCGTGGCTCTCCAGTACTTTGCTGTGACAGCTTCCCCCCACAGCTGATGTTTTGAGGACTTGGATGATGGCCTAGTATTAGGGTAACTAGTGATGCAGCTTTCTTAATCACTGTAGGCATTCTTTCATAGTAACGATTACATGCATTGCTTATCTTTACTCCTGTGATTCTTTGCAGTTTTGCATTATAGTAAATTACACTGTTCCTTAAGCTGGTGCCTGTTTGTGTCTGTGTCTCTGACCCTGCTCACTGGCAAAACACTAAGTGGTACTTAGGGTAAGTCAAGGACTTTTCAGTGTCTCATGTTCTGACAGTGAGGAGCTCCACAAAAAAAACTGTGAGGGAACAGGGCCAGGACAAATGACCAAATTGGGCAAAGGGATATTCCATACCCCAGAATATCATGCCCAGTATATAAACTGGGAGAGTTACCTGGAATGCAGATGATCACTGCTCAAGACAAGCTGGCTCTCGGTCAACAGGTGGTGAGCAGTTATGTTGTGGTGGGTTGACCCTGGCTGGACACCAGGCACCCACCAAAGCTGCTCTATCACTCCCCTCTGCAAATGGACAGGGGAAAACACAGAAAAAGGTCCACAAGTTAAGTACTGGGAGAGCTCACTCACCAAATACCATCATGGGCAAAACACACTGAACTTGGAGGTATTGATTGCATTTATTACTAACAAAATCAGAGCAGGATAATGAGAAGTACAATAAATCTTAAAAACACTTTCCCCTAACTCTCCCTCCTTCTTGGGCTCTATTTCCTCCCTCACCAGAAGTTCAGGAAGACAGGGAATGGGGGTTAGGGTCTGTTCATCACCCATTGTTCCTGCCACTGCTCCACTGTAGGGCACCTTCCACAGGAGACAGTACTCCACTAACTTCTCTAACATGAGTCCATTCCACAGGCAAGCAACAGTTCTTCCCAAATTGTTCCTATGTGGGTCATTTTTCCAGAGTGCAGTACTTCAGGCCCAGCCTGCTCCCAACATGGGTCTGCCATGGTGCCACAAGTTCTATCGGAACACTTGCTCTAGTGTGGGGTCCTCTTGCCATGGGTTTGCAGGTCCAAATTTTCCTCCCCACTGGGGGAGAGGGTGGTAGAAGTGAGCAAGCAGTTGCGTGGCCTAGATGCCAGCTGGGGTAAAACCGTAAAACACAGACCACAAGTGCAGTTCTACCAAGAACAACAGACTAATGACATCAAACATCTGACTGAATGCTGTTTATCCCTTGCTATAAATATAAGCAATGCAGCTATGCAAAATCAGTTACTATAAAATATTTATTCCAAGAAGCTGTTCTAATACACTCTGAGATAAGGAATGGATAGTATATATACAGGGAATGACTGTAATATACAGATCTTACATGGTATTTACAAAATATTTAATTCCCAACGATGCAACCGCCTGATGGTGGGAAGAGTATTGCATTCATATACACACAGTTAACTGCATGCCTTTTATAAACTTTGCAAAAAGTCCAACCATTATAAAGTTCTCAGATGAAAATGTACATTTATAAGACCGCATTTTTAAAAAGGTGAGTGTGCCTGCATTTCTAACACTTCCCATGCTCTTAAAAACAGCACAGGATTTTTTCCCCCTGCATTTGCACATTAGGAGTGGCTGGCCAGAACATTGAAGAAGTGAAAAACTTCATCTTTATCCATTACTGCTACTTCAGTTGAGCACTCAGTACATAATACTGGATGATATATTTCCTCTTCTTCTTGATTTGATTGTGTAGAGACAATTTCTTTGCTGTGCTTCATTTTCTTACTTCTTCTCTTAACCTTCTTTCTGTATTTCAGTACTTCCTCTTTGTTAACAACGCAGTTCATCACAAACATTGCTCTGTACTGTGTTTTGTAAGATTCATGTCTATGGAGAAGGGGAGAAAATGCAAGTCATACCATTCATACAACTCTGCTTCCAAGAAATCTGTTACCATCCCTGAAAGTGGGATTAAAGACAGAAAGTAACATGCCAAAGGGCTGACAGCCAAATAAATAGGAATTTTATAAACAGAAGTCACAGCTACAAAAATAATAAAAACATAGAACTGCAGCCATCTGTTGTTTTTTTAAGGCATTTTTTAAAAATACTGTCTGTTGCTGCAAGAAAACACCCTGGAGTACAATGGTATTGGTACTGCGGAATTATGCATTACTACATATAGCTCATAATAGGCAAAAGATCAGGAAGCTGTGAGGGTAAATGATTCAGCTACTGGCATTGACATCCTAAAATGTTGTGCAAGTCTGAAATTCCTTATTTATAAATAATATCATTGACATATCACACTAGAAGCAGCATGTCTATAAAAAAACATAAAATTTCAGCTGTCATAGGTCTTAACAATTGTGTATCTGGAGTATGTAGCAAAATTCAGTACTGTAGTTCAACATAATGCAATGTCCCTCAGGCTGCAATTTTAGAGCAGCCTAAACCAAGACAACAGTGGCTGCAGAAGTCCAGTCTTGAGTTCTGCTGGCTTATGTGCTTGTATGACACTGTGTTGAGCTACGTCAGTGGATTAAACCCAGGAAAGACCAGTATGACAATAAAAATAGAGAGTTTTCTGTCAGCTTAGCAAACTGAAAAACTATAGAACAAGGTCAAGGAGTATTGGAGTCAACAAAGCAAAAACAGAGAAATACAGGACTCAGTATTTAGATGATTTTAGGCTGCTGTGGAATTTCATCCTCAATCACCATAAACACTCAATAAATGACAGGTATTTTATTTCTCATTTCAGAAGATTTCTTTCTTCTTTACTCCCAGTTCTAGAGTCCTTCCCTTAGCATGGGTTAGGAGCACTAACTAGGCCTGCAATGCAGTCAGAGACTGAAGAGTGTCAAAACATACTGTGGATTCTCACCTAAATACCTTCCTGGGACTTTTAAATTTAACAACACTCAAAACCGTGACTGCTAAGTCTCAAACCAATTAAGAATACACTATTTTGCTTAAACCTCCTTCAACAAGGTATTTTTAGACAAAAATAACCTGGAATAGTTTTATGCCTCTAAGTATCAACCCAAGATATATATATATAGATAGGTATTTCTAAAATCCCCTATCTGCCTGAAATGCCTGTTGAATCTCCACAATTATTATTTTTTTTTAAGATTTTTAAAGATTTTTTAAGATTATTTTTATTTTTTACCTTCTCCACTATGCTAACGTTCTACCCTATTCTTCCACATCTCCACACTGCAGGTTAAACTGATCATCATTCATACAAACCAGCATCTAACCCTAAATCTGACTCACATCTACCTGCCTTCCCTTTATGAGGGCCACCTTGAAAGACAGAGCTGATAAAAGTCCATAGACCAAACTGAATATACTAACAATTCTACTGACAAAAAAAATGAAATTACAAGAAGACCCCTTATTGTTCACTGTTGTTACCTCTGGCAGTCCAGGCACAATGTTGTCATGCAAGCAGGGCAGTTCAGAACAGCATCACTATTTGGAACAGCTGCAGGTTTTGCCTGCCACTGCTGTGGCACTGCTCTTCTCTGGTTACGGTACCTACCAATTTGAGAGAGGAGGAAGCGGAGACAAAAAGTGAAATTACATGCCCTTGTTGTTGGTCATAACAATTCAATGTCAAACTTTTCTTTGCATTAAAATACACCAATTAATACTTGGCTCTTTCTGGACACCATTTGCATTAACTCAAAAAACACAGATGAGAAGGTGAGGGGAAAACACGTACCAGTATCTTTTGATTTACAGAATACTTTCATTTGGTGAGACAAATACAAGTCTGGCATGAGAATTTGTGCCTAATAACCCGCTCCTCTGACTAAGTAGGTATCTCAAGTGCAATGTCTGCAGGCAACATTAATTATCTTATTCAACAGATTTAAGTGGAAAATTTTACTTCTGCTGCAACAACCATTTTTCTACTTCAACCTTCAAAAAACCCTCATTAAAGTAGCTTTCTATTGTTCCTGTTTTCTCTGAACATTTTGTGGCTCACTAAATTCAAATTTTCCAAAACCAGAAATACAGTATTTATCAGGAACAAATATTAATCAACAATCAAATTATCTTGCAACATTTTAATTCACAGCATGGTTGTTTAAATGAGATCTACAGACAAAACTAGCTTACAGAATTTGGAAATCTTGATTTTAAAAATTTTATAGTTTTGTGTAGTTTTGAAGACTCAACTTCCATTACATACACCTAAAACATTTTACAGGATTTGCAGTTTCTTATGCTTTACGTTTATATATAAAAAACAGTCACATTGCATGGATTTGACAGCATTGGCTTTTTCTCTACATTTACCATTTTCATTTAAAATTTTCAATTGATGTTAAGCATCTTACAATTCAAATATTTATGGTTACTTACCCTCTCCTCTGTGAGTCTACCCACTCTTGGTCTCTGTTGTCTTCTTCTGGGTCATACAGCAGCTCATCATTGGAGAGAATCCGACGTTGCTGATGTTTTCTGTTTTTCCGGCTATCCTGTGTATCTGGAAGAATTTGTGCAAGAACATGTTACATCCATCTGACACATATTATCAAAATATACAATTTCCAATTTTCATTTTCCATCCTTGCAATAAATCTAAACTGAAATTTAAATGCCTGGCTCATCTCTCCTTCAAGTGTAACCCCAAAGCATTACACTGGGATACATCATAGAATTGCAGGAACTACACTGAGATGATACAGGCTGTTAATTCCCCTCAAAAATGCTGCTTTCACAAACAGCCTCTAGACCCCTACCCCCCACCCCAAAGAGGATTTTACAGGATCTGACTGAGTGATACTATAAAGATGCCCTCCTCTTGCCTCTGTCATTTACCTTTTTTATCTTCATCCTCTGAATCAGAATCAAAGTAAATGTCATCATAGTATTTTGAAGTGCTGGCAGATCCACTCAGACCAGTACTTGAGGAAGTACCTACAGGTGAAATTTGAAGTGGTAAGAACACCCCAGTACAAGGAGAGAAAGTATACAGCCCAGAACAAACCTTTACTTTCAAGTTACTTTGTCCAGAGTGTTCTGTTCTACCTGGGTGTGTTAAGTAACAGCCCTCCCAGTTTATTCCCACACCCTTATCATTCACATCACTTGTGTTACTTCATTTACAGGCATTCTCAGAGCAGAGCTGCTCCCTCTCTCTCAAAGATGAACCTCAGATAACATTTGAAGCTAAGTTTCTCCCAACACTCCCTTTAGACACAGAGGACATCACATCAAATATACCTGTCTCTGCCCTATGTCATACACACAAGACATCTTTAGTCATGTGAAAGAAATACAAGTGTGGCATTGCTTCACAAACTTTGATTAAAATAAAATTCACTAAAAAATGTCCCCCAAAATTTCAGACCCAGAGAAGTTCAAAAAATACCTAGACAAACTGCCAAGCAGCCACTCTGCACCAAAATTCCTATTCCGTGCTGTATGGATGCGGTGATGTAAATACTGCTACGTATTCTTAACTATACAACCAAAACCTAGATGATTTGGCCACTAACACATAATTCATGGTTTCATATGCAAGCATATGTTAAGCGTAATTTACCCATTTCAGGTGATTTCCATTTGCCTTCCATAGTCTTCATGGTGGTGTTCAGTTCTGCTTCCATCTCCTTTTGGAACTCATCATCACTGGAAGACTCACTCTCGCCAGTCAGGCACTCCCTTATCAGCTTCCGCTTCTGGTCAGGAGTGCCATGTAGGAGCACATCCACCTCATCCTCTGAGCTACAAACATTTAAGTGGCACACACCTAATTATTACAAATAGGCTAAAACATGGATATAGTCACTTGGAGAACGACCATCTGAATTGTGTGGGTGCACTGGAAATCACTTCTATGTTTATGGGCAACGTACATATTAAAACACTTTATTAGCTTAGGGGTATTAAAACTGGTTTAAAGGCAAAGGAGCTTCAGGGGACTGCGTGGGGCCTGCCACAATGCCCCTGCAGCTCCTGCTCCGCGCAGGGAGCTGGGCGGTCAGAAATGTAATTACACCGGTTTCAAGGAAATCGCCGCGGCCGACGTGAGGCCGATCCTCCTGCACTCCGCGAGCAGCCCGGGGTCGACACCCACTCACGGCCTGGCACCGCCACCGTCGCTGCGCGCCCGGGCCAG